TGCGCGCTCCGGCTGCTAGGGCGAGGCGGATTCCTGCTATCAGCGCTTCATACTCAGCGACGTTGTTCGAGGCTGTGAATTCGAAGCGTTGAGCGTACTCGAATTCGTCTCCGTCAGGGTTTGTTAGTACGATGCCCGCTCCACCTCCTGTTGTAGTAGAAGATCCATCGACGCTGACGGACCAAGTAGGTAGAGAGGTGCTTTCTTCTACTGTGGTCATTTCGACTAGAAAGTCAGCCAGTATTTGCGCTTTGATAGCTGGGCGGGGTTTGAATTCTACTCCGTATTCACTTAGCTCTATAGCCCATTTTGCTAATCGTCCGGACGTTTCGGGACTCCTTAGTATTTGCTTCAGTGGATAATTGGTGAGAACCACTACTTGATGTGACTGGAAGTAAGGTCGAAGCTTCCGGGCTGCGTTGATGAGGGCGAGAGCGAGCTTCTCCATATTGGTATAGCGTTGCTCGGCCCCTTGAAGAGCGCGACTTATGTAGTATATGGGTTGGTGACCTCTTCCTCCATCTCGGATGAGGACCGCGCTGATGGCATCAGCCGAGGTAGCTAAGTACAGCATGAGTGTGTCTCCCGGCTGAGGTTTTGTGAGCAAGGGTGGTGAAGCGAGGTATGACTTTAGCTCAGTGAAGGCTTTTTGACATGCCTCATCCCACTCGAACTTTTTTCCTCCCCTTAGAATCTTGAAAAATGGGAGAGCCTTGTCCGCTGATCTTGAAATGAATCTATTCAGGGATGCTAAACAGCCGTTGAGTTGTTGAACTTTCTTGATCGATGTTGGCGGAGCCATGGAGGTGATTGCTTCGATTTTAGCGGGATTAGCTTCGATTCCTCGCTGCGAAATCATATAACCCAAAAATTTGCCTCCCTTAACTCCGAATGAACATTTGAGGGGGTTGAGCTTCATCTTATATTTTCGCAGGGTGGCGAAACACTGATCCAGATCAATTAGGTGGTCCGAGACCTTGACACTTTTGACGAGCATGTCGTCGATATACACCTCCATATTTTTACCGATCTGATCTGCGAACATTTTGTTCACTAGACGCTGGTAGGTGGCTCCTGCGTTTTTTAACCCGAAGGGCATGACTCGATAGCAGTAGATGCCTTGGTCAGTGATGAAACTAGCCTTCTCTTGATCTTCTGGTGCAAGTAAGATCTGGTTATATCCTTGGTATGCATCGAGGAAGCTGAGGAGTTCGCACCCCGAGGTTGAATCGATGAGCTGATCGATTCTGGGTAGAGGAAATGGGTCCTTAGGACAGGCTTTGTTGAGGTCAGTGAAGTCTACGCATAATCTCCATTTTCCTCCGGGTTTAGGAACGAGCACTACGTTCGACAACCATTCAGGATACTGAACTGGTCGTATATGACCTGCCTCTAGAAGTTTAGCCACTTCTGCTTTGATATGCTTGTTGCGTTCGGGTCCAAACGTTCGTTTCCTCTGTTTGACTGGCTTCATCCTCTTGTCGACGTTAAGTCGATGTAGGGCTACCTGAGGGGGAATGCCCGACAAATCTTGGGCTTTCCATGCGAACACATCTCCATTGTGTCGCAGGAAGTTGATTAGCTGCTGCTCCGTCTCAGGATCTAAATCAGATCCGATGCGTAGGAGTTTGGAATCATCTCCAGGTGTGAGCTCTATGAGCTTAAGCTCTTCGACAGCCGCTAGCTTGATGCTATCGTCTGGTACACTGATGAGGATTTCTTTATTGTCCTCAATGATTGCATTGACCCACTTCCGTTTGTCGGATTTTTGGGTATCGTCTCCCTTTCCGGGCGGTTTAGGCTTCTTTGAGGGTTCTCGTAGGGCCCTTGCATAGCATTCTCGAGCGAGACGTCTATCTCCAAGCACTTCTCCCATTCCATAGGGAGTAGGGAACTTCCATTTCTGATGGTAGGAGGAAGGTACTGACTTGAATGTGTGGATGGCTGGCCTCCCCAGAATGATGTTGTAGGGTGATGGCCGGTCGACGACGAGGAACTTGATTAGTTTCGTGATTCGACAGGGGTCTTCCCCTAATGAAACAGGCAGCTCCACTTCTCCCATTGACAAAATGCCTTCTCCTGTGAACCCTTTCAGGGGTGTGGAGATGGGACTAAAACGGGCATTATCTATGCCTAGCTGCTTAAAAGCATGGAGGTACATGATGTCAGCTGAGCTCCCACCATCTACTAATATTTTCTTGACCAAGAAGTTGGCCACCGTTGTTGTTACCACTAATGCGTCGACATGGTCTTCCTCTGGACCTTCGAGGTCGGAGGAGTTGAAGACTATGCTGTGATCAGGTCTTCGTATTTGATATACGCGTTCGGATGGAGAAGCGCGTTCTTGATTCATGCGCGCTGATCGAGCGAGTGTGCGTCTTGCATTATGTGAATCGCCTCCCGCCGGTCCTCCGGAGATGAAGGAGATGATTCCTCGGGTAGGTTGGTTATCATTGTTATCTAGGTCACGTCGGTGACCCCCATCTTCTCGTCTTTGTTGTTGATCTCGGTTATTATCTCGGCGTGGAGGATCATCACGGCGTTTATTTCGCGGCTTATCGACGTATTCGCCTAAATGGCCCTGTTTGATCAGCCTCTCAATCGCCATTTTAAGTTGTGCACACTCTTCCGTAGTATGCCCTCTGTCCTTATGGAATCGACAATAACGATCCGATTTTTCTCGCTTTGCGTTTGGCTGCATAGGACGTGGAGGTTCTGCTAAACCTTTCTGCTCTATCACGTGAAGGATTTCCGTGAGGCGAGTGTTCAGCGGAGTGAACCTATTGTAGGAGGAAGAGGGTTGGCCTTGAGGTGGTAGTGGTGGACGTCGATCGTCGCGCCTCCTATTGTCCTGACGGTCGTCTTCCCTTTTTCTTTTAGGAGGAGCATGGGTAGAGGCTTCCTCTATCCGGACGTATTTTTCGGCTCGATTCAGCAACTCTTCCAGGTTGCCTGGAGGTCTTCCGGCGATAGATTCTTTGAATCTACCCGGTTTCAAGTTCTGCTGCATGATCCCGGAGAGCATGTCTTGTCCTACACTGGGGACCTCGTGGACGGCTTCTACGAAACGCTTAATGTAGTTGCGGAGCGTCTCGTTATCTCTCTGTACTATAGAGAAAAGATGAGCTGGAGTCTTGGCATATTGTTTGTTGATGGCGAATTGGTTGGTGAAGCGGGTCGACAACCGAGCGAAGGTGTCAATCGACCCTATGGGCAGGGAGTTGAACCAATTCATTGCCCTCTTGGAGAGAGTGGTGCGGAACATTTTGCACATCGCGGCATCCGTTGGGCCATATAAATCTGCCATGGCACTGAATTTCTCTATATGTTCCTGTGGGTCGGTGGTCCCTTCAAATTGTGGTAACCCCGAGATCTTTACCCCTTGAGGTAAAATCTCGTTGAGAATGTCTATGGTGAAGGGACTGCGTCTTGTTGGGGGAGGCATTCTTTCATCCCTTTGATTATTTGGTTGGGAGAAAAGGTTTTGGCGAGACATTCTGCTGTTTACTTCGCCTTCTCCCTCATTAAAGAGAGGGACTCTTGGTGGTGACGCATTCCCCCGTAGGGGCGAGCGTCGACGATGCTGTCTGGGCTGTGCTCCTCTGTGATTAGTAGATAACTGCACTCGGGACCGTGGGTCCGACGTAGAGGAGGAGACACTTATTTGATTCTGGATCGGCGGTGGGGCCACTGGTGGTACTATAGGTGGAGCTTGTGCTGGTATCGCATTGGGAGCGTTTGCTCCCATCGTGGCGATATATTGAGTTACGGCCTCCGTGGCGGCGCGAGTAGAAGCTTCCGCTATCATATGTTGGAGTGCGTCCTCGGTTATCTGAACTGTTCGAGGAGCAGGGAGTGGTGGATCGGCGAGTGGTGGGTCCCGAGGGGGGATCACCTGAACCTCGCGAGGTGGATCTGCAGTACGTGGAGGAGCTGGCTCCGTAGCACGTGGAGGAAGTTGTTCCGTGGCGCGTGGAGGAGGTGGTATGCCAGATCCTCCACGGACTGGGAGGTTATTTGCTGTGTCATTTTCTCTCCGAGCTGACGCCTCAGGAGGATCTTGTTGGCTACGTGATCTGGTTTGCATCGTTCCCACAGACGGCGCCAAAATGATGAAGCTAAAATATAGCTCACCTAGGGTAGTACAGAAAACAAGTTGGGAGAGCAAAGCTGATCAGTAGCTGGTCAACTCGATGTTCCTGAGGTCCCTGCGAAAAGAGCACACGTGAACTAAGCCGGGGGTTGGTCCGGCGGAAACCCCTCCGACGCTCAAGTCAGATGTACGGATCGTAGAGATAGCTGAGAGAATAATATTCGAGGTTGATTGTCGATAAAAATGAGAACTTACCTTTACGAATGAGTAAACCATCTATTTATGTATTATTGAATGGGTTGGGCTTACTTTGTTGGGCCCAAGCCTTATTTTGAAGGAGCTTGGGCTTTCGTGTAATGGGCCACATGTGTGTGACTTGGCTTTCTTGTAATGGGCCCAATTGGTAGATAAATTTGAGGGCCCGTTGGGCCGGCCCATTTAGGTATATCAATAAATAATCAAAAAATTAAATTTCATGAACAAATATCACATATTTTCACATTGATTAAACACCTAGCTATTTGATCTAATTGGTGCCTAAACCTCTACGTATTTTTTAATTGTGACTTTACACCTATTATTTTTTTGATTAAATATTTTAAGTGCTTTATTAATTGGGATCACTATAACAAATCCCAACTTTTACTTACTTGAATACTGGAAAAAAATAAATAATAAATAATTAATAGTAAATTACTTTAATACCCTTAATGAAAATTAAAACCAAAAAAATATTACAAATATTATTTTTCTTTCTTAAATACCAAATAATCAAAAACCCTCAAAAATCATTTCCCTCCTCACTCACAAACTCCTCACCTCCTCCACCTCCTTCTTCTCCCTCCCCCAAAAACCCTCCTAAAAAACCTCAAAACTAATGAAATCAAAACCTTACACAACTAGCAAAATGACGTCAAATGACAATAGAATGGTAGTTTACGAGCAAGGAGAACCCATTAAGGTATGTATTCATGTATTTTTTGAGCTAAAACATCGATTTTGATTTTTTTTTATTAAATCCGCCATCAACTTTCGACACATACAGGTCGAAAATGTGTTTATTTTTCGACATGTATGTGTCGAACAACATAATAATTGATATTATACTCATTTTCGACACTTAAGTGTCGAAAATAGCGGTAAAATTCGACAGTTACCCGTCGAATTTTGCTAATATTTTCGACACTTAAGTGTCGAATTGTTCCCCTATTTTCGACACTTAAGTGTCGAATTTGTCACATGTTTTCGACACCTAAGTGTCTAATTTTTCCCATGTTTTCGACACTTAAGTGTCGAAAATAGGGGACAAATTCGACACTTAGGTGTCGATTTTTTTCCTGTCGCAAATTTACTCGTCTAATATTTTCTCCACTTTTGTGTAGATCGATTGCACCCATTTATTTACCACGTCAGAGAAATTCCCAACAAAAGAAGCTTTAATGGCATGGGTTCGTAAAGTATGTAAAAGAATTGGAATGGTGTTAATGATTGCGGGTTCGAGTGACGGGGATAGAGGACGTAGGACACCGTATGTGATTGTTCGTTGTGAGCGTGGGGGCCTTTATGCTGGCAAGAAGGTATCCAGTGAAGATGATCAAAGACCGGGAAAGAGGAGCACTGGTTCAAAAAAATGCAATTGTCCGTTTAAATTGAAGGGGACAAAAGAACACAAGGATGATGAAAAGGCTGAGTGGAAATTGGATGTTTATGGTGGTATTCACAACCACAACTTGTTTGAAAACTTGCACGGACACTCTTATGCTGGAAGATTATCAAAGGAGCAGACTTCACTTGTTCACACTTTGAAGAAAGCAATGGTCAAACCAAGGGCAATTCTAAGATTATTGAAGGAAAATGACCCGTCTAATGTAACTGGTATGAAGACAGTTTAATATACTATCTCTAAGTTAAATTTGAATGAATTATCTGGGAGATCTCGATTTGTTCGCCAAGTTGAAAGAAGATGTCGAATGTTGTCTGTTTCTATTTTTTTTTTCTTTGATAAATTGCAATTTTGTATTTTTTTTTTGTGAAGTTAACCCCAAATCTATTGCAATGTAACATAAAAACCATATTTTAAGTGTTTTTGGACAAAAAAAATAAAAAATTCAAATTATCAAAAAAAAAAAAAAATTAAACAAAAAAGTTTCGACAGCTAGCTGTCGAATGTTGTATGTTTCTATTTTTTTTTTTTTTGATAAATTGAAATTTTGTATTTTTTTTGTGAAATTAACCCCAAATCTATTGCAATGTAACATAAAAAACATATTCTAAGTGTTTTTGGACAATTTTTTTTTTCAAATTATCAAAAAAAAAAAAAATTTGAAACAAAAAAGTTTCGACAGCTAGCTGTCGAATTTTAAGACCAATTCGACAACTAGTTGTCGAATGTTGTCTGTTTCTGTTTTTTTTTTTTTTTTTTGATAAATTGCAATTTTGTATTTTTTTGTGCAATTAATCCCAAATCTATTGCAATGTAACATAAAAAAACATATTCTAAGTGCTTTTGGACAAAAAAGAAAAAAAAAATTCAAATTATCAAAAACAATTCCATTTAAAACAATCAAAATCCATATAAAACTAAATTAAAAAAACATGTAAATCAAACAACATCCATCTAAAACAAACAGAATCTCGCATCGGGAAACGATCACGAATAGCCGTGTACGGTGACCATAAAACCTAGTAAAAAAATAGTTTTAGAAACCTACTTAAGTAGTAATAACAAATTATTAAACTCGTATTTTACCTGATCGGGGATCAAATCATCTAATCGAGATCGCAAGTACGACGCTCGTTCATGCATTGAAGTAGTCTTTGACTGAGGCTCCCATCGGCTCGCTAATGGCCCCTCGAATTCCGTTTTCAATGTGCCACCCGCCAAATAAGGGAAGTGCTCGTAAATCCATGATTGGAAGAGCGTCAGCCAACCAGCCATCGAGTTCGTTGAATTTTGTGAGGCTGACGAAAGCTCATCGTACAACCGGTAAAGACATGCAGTGCCCCAAGCATACTCACTGATCCGATCCAAATCAGAGATGAGATTTAGATACTCCACGCTTACCATGTTGCCAGTCTTGTCGCACAGTGTAGTACACCCGAGCAAAAATAACAAATACGCCCGAATGGCGTATGTCCTCTTCTCCGCACTGTCTCTCATGGTCACCTTGTTAAATTTAGCCTTTAACCATTCCAGCTTCACCGCTTTCTTCTTGTCTACATCGTCCGGGTACTAACCTAGCAACTCAAACATCAAACTACTGGGCATCGTTTTGGAATCACGATCAAACACTCGCAAGATACAGTACGCCCAACAACTGGAAAACCGACCAACGTACTCACATCATCAAGTGTGATGGTCATCTCTCCAACAGGTAAATGAAATGTGTAGGTAGCTGGCTGCCATCTCTCTATGAAGGCTCTAAGTAGATGGCCGTCCACAGTGTTGTACGATGCTTGTACAACTGACATTAATCCAGCTCTTTGTACTGCCTCTGTAATAAACGGCACCGGCACCCATCCTTTCAAAGTTCCTGTGTGATTTCGAATTCGAAATTCTGAGCCGCGCTCCGAGCGCTCTGGACCTCCGTTCAAGCAATGTGCTTATTAAAATTTGTGTACAATTCCAGTATCTCGGGACCTCAGACCGGTTCGTTGCTCGAATCACCAACTTCTACAGTCGAAGGTAGAGCAGGCACCGGATTCGTTGAGGAAGAACCCTCTCCAGACTTCTTCTTGGTCGTGGGCTTTTTCTTGGTCGTGATTGCCTTGCCCTTGCCCTTATCGGATAATTCCTTCCTCTTCTTACGATTCGAGATAGTCGAAAGTATACGAGGTTCACGTGGTTCTTCCACTGCAAAATAACACACAAATAAAAATAAATATACATAATATAAACACAAGAAAATGAAAATAGGAAAGAAAAAAAATTAATAAATTAATATATATATATATATATATATATATATATATATATATATATATATATATATATATATATATATATATATATATATATATATATATATATATATATATATATATATGTATTTTTATATTTATATATATATAATATATATATA